AGAAGAAGGGAGGGGTTGAGAGAGAAATAAATAGAAAGATGATTAAAGAACAGATGGAAGCTTTAAAGACAAGATAGTAGTAATAACACTCAATTAACACGTGAACAATCTGTAAACAAGAGTTTCGTTCTCTACAACAAAACTTATGAAAATTTATATTATATGCAAGGTCTACAACTAACTAGTTTGTCGTAGCAGAAAGACTCAAAGTATAACATTTTAATCATCTGGAAATAAAAAGTTCAGTTTAAATGAATGTGTGCCCATTTATCATTTCTCGAGCGACTTGAATTCGTAGAATTCTTTTTAAAAATCGAGGAAACGAATTCAAGTTACGTGCGAGACAAAATCCCTGATATATATATATATATATATGTAAACAGTACAACCACAGTCTTGCAATTAACCCTTTGTTGCATGAAGTATGAAGGAATCGACTGAGGGTGTTAAAATTTGGCATGACCTTTCTGGAGCATTATAATTTACAACACTGGGTTCATTTTTCAGCAAATATTCTTAGGAGAGGGAGGTCAAAATGTCCAAAACATTGAACGGGTTGAATCTGGAAGGTTTTTCCCTCATGAAAAGGTGTCCAAAATATTGTTAGGGACTACGATTGCAGAATGACGTCAAAATGGTAGGTGTAGAAGATACGGAGAAGGGATGTTGAAATAATCTTGATGGTTTGTTCTAACTTCTCTTTCCAGAGAAAACATGCCGCCAAAAACTCACCAGAATGAGAGGTAGTGGTGAATCGCCGTTGGGATCAAAGACTCCACAGAACGAGGCGCCTTTGAATTTGATGACGTCACCATTAGGGCATGTTGGAGGTTCCGGCACCTTCGAAGCGCAGCTGGGAGAAAAATACAATCGGAATTATCTCAGACACCCTCCCATTGTCGACAGAAAAGTGCTTGTCTTAGACTGGTGGACGTCTTGGACAATGTCACTATAATAATTTTTTTTTTAAGCATGAGGTGTGGGGGGGGGGAGGTGGTGTGAAGTGATCGTTTGTAATGTGCTTGTCTTAAACAGGTGGTCTTTGGAGCAGATGCGACTGTTCGTATTTCTTAAAAAAGATAAGGAGTCCATTCTTTTCAAAACTGATATAAGGATGACGAGAATTTTTATTATATCTATGAAGGCACGCAGACCTTGGGCAATTTTGCTCAATTTAATACTAACGAATTGATTTAATACTTCTTCTTCCTCAGGCAGAATGCTCATAAATGCATTATAGTCAAGTCGGCAATTACAAATCCTTGTTTTAATTAACAATTCTGACTTTTACGGTGATCTCTAAAATACCTTTACAGTAAAGTCTAAACTACTTTACCCATTTCTGTGAAAAGTATATAACTGGAAAAAAAATTTCGGAAGCAAATGCTGACCCTTTCAAGAAAAAGAACCATACCAATTTCAATATCTGTTAGATAGTATGCCTAAACTATTAGTGTGTTGGCTCGCACAGGGCATTTGTATTTATACTCTATCTGTATTTTCAGTGTTCGAAGGTTCGAAGTCAGTGGGATATGAACTTTTTCAAATGTTCAAAGAATAAAGTATATTCCTCGTCTGCCAGTGCCTACGTTCAATATCTATACAGCTGTGCTCAAGACCCTTGACACTGTGTAATACTCTCTCAAATATTTACAAAAACTATCTTCAGGAACTCCCCC